TTAAAAACTCTTATTAGGAATCACCATTGGAAGCTTTCAGACCCTGTGTTTCAGGCTGCATGTTTGTGAGGAGCAGCAAACCTGTTTTAACAAGGCCTGGGTGCTGTTTAATTAAGAGGAACTTGAGCCAGTGAGGTCACTGGCTGAAACTGACCGAAGGTCCCATGTTGCTCAGGGGCCGTCACCGGCATCCTCGGAGGGGATGTGAATGGCAGGGTCACTAGAGAACCTCTCACAGACTCAGAGGGGAAGCCTCACCCCGAATCTCTGGCACGGAGATTTAAGAAACTATGGAGAAACGTCTCCTTCTGACACTTCACACTCTCCTCAGCCTCGTCCCTGTCTTTCTGGGTCAAGTCCAAGCTCCAGAACCAGACCATAAAACCTTCCATTATCTGGCCCTGCCTAGTTGTTCTCAGACCTCATCTCCTGCCTTCCTTCTTAAAATGTCTGTCTCAGCAACACTGGCTCTGCCGGGGGTGGGGGGGGGTGCACATGCGCACACACACCGTTCCCGCTGCCTCCAGCGTCCTCCTGCCTGTCCCAGCTACTGCTGACGTCTAGAACCTGGCTACTGAACGGCGTGGCCCTGCAGCTCCGGCATTGCAGGGGCTTGTTAGAAACAGTCTCACGTGTATCCCAGCCCGGCTGAATCGGAATCTGCACTTGAATAAGACGCCTGGTGACTGCACTACGAATACATTTTTATAAGGGAATTTAAAGCTGGAGAAGCCTCTCACCAAGACCCCGCTTCTTGCAGAAGCCCTCTCTGACAAACAGCAGCCCCTGCCTCCCACCACGCCAGGGCGGCCACCTGTCTTCAGTGCTCATGTCTCAAATTACAGAGTCTCTTGCATGCGCTTGTCTGTTTCTGTGTCCGTCTTCAGTTCTAGACCAGGGGCTCCCCCCGCCCACAGGCTGCAGACCATGCCATCCTTGTGTTCCCCATGCTGTGTAATTTGGCCTATGCCCAGAGCTTAAAAAATGTCATTTGTCACAGCTCATAATCCCTGAAGTCCTTGTGATTTTAAACTTTAATAACTAACTTTAACAATAACTATCTTTAACAATAACTATCTTTAATAGTTAGCTCTTTTTAAAATATTTTATTTATTTATTTTAGAGAAATGGGGAAGGGAGAGAGAAAGAGAGGGAGTGAAACATCAGTGTATAGTTGCCTCTAGCACACCCCATACTGGGGACATGGCCTGCAACCCAGGCACGTGCCCTGACTGGGAATTGAACCGGCGATACTTTGGTTCGCAAGCCTGCGCTCAATCCACTGAGCTACACCAGCAGGGCCTAGTAGTTAGCTTTAACTTTAATAGTAACTAACAGTTTTAATAACATTAAATACCTACCAGTTTTATTAACTTCAATAACAAAAACTATAATCACTAATTTTAATGACTAACCCAGATACCTGTGAGCTACAAGTAAAAGCATGACAATTTAGGTTACTCTTGTTACACATTTGAATCCAGATACTTTGAACATTGTATGTATGCATTTAACTTTTGTCATATTTAAAATATAATAAAATTTATATTTTGCAATGGAAACTTTCAAATATATACAAAAGTAGGAAAGAATAATGAGCCTATAACCCCACATCAACAAATGTTCACTTTAGGAAAAAAAACATTCTCACCCTGGCTGGTATAGCTCAGTGGATTGAGCACAGGCCTGAGAACCAAAAGATCATGGTTTGATTCCCAGTCAGGGCACATCCTGGGTTGCAGGCCAGTTCCCAGCAGGGGACATACAAGCGGCAACCATACACTGATATTTCTCTCCCTCTCTCCTTCCCTTCCCCTCTAAAGATAAATAAATAAAGTCTTTTTTAAAATCCATTTAAAAAAACCCAAAAAACATTCTCATTTAATCTATTTCCCTTACCTGTATCTACTCACTTTTTGGAAGACTGGGCCATTTTAATACAAATCCCAGATATATTATTATTTCAACCATAAATATTTCAGTATGCATCTATAATCTAAGGGAATGTTATTGGACCTAATCAAATTAATAGTGATTCCTTAATGTAATCTTTATAGTCTATATTCAAACTTTGCTAATTATTTCAAAGATACATTTTTACAGTTGAGTGTAGAAATCAAGTGAACTATAATTGCTATAATTTTTTATAGCAAACAAAAAAGAGCTCCCAGGAATGAGAAGGTAAATTTCTCACGGCCGTGGCCCAAATTAGCTATGTGTGAAAAAAATTATATTGGCCTTTAATGCCATTTGCAGGTTCCTCTCTCCACTCACAACTAGATTTTTTTTTTTTAAAAACCTGTTATAAAGAATCCATAGGTAAAATAGAGCAAAGCAAAAGCAATACTGAGGTCCATACAAGTGTGTCCCTCAAGAGCAGTGAAACAAATAGGAATTGTAATGGTGAGGATGGTTTTTTATAAAAGAGATATACAAAAAATAGATTTTAAGCCCAATGACTTCCCCCTCCATAGCCAAATAGCCAGCAGGCCTTACAGACTTAGAGAGTAGAATCTAGAGGGATGGTATATTTGCTGACGCTATTTGCTTTTAAAATCTGTATTACTTTTGCCTGCACTAAAAACTTGGGGCTTCTGAGAAACATGTTGGTAGAAGTGGCTTGAAGAGCAAATGCAATGATCTCGAAGTCGTTGTCCTCTTACCAGCGAGTTCTGCTCCGTGCTCCCTAGGTCAAGGGCACCGCTCCCACTTCTCTCAGCCCCCGTTTGGAGTCATACTTCATCTAGGCCCCCCTGCTTGTTTGGCTCTCTACATAACACGCCGAGGGGCAGAGATTCCGGCCTCCACACAATGGCCCACCATTCAACCACATTCTGCTTTGTTCCTAAACATCCACTCCCCCCGGCTCCTGCTGGGTCTGTTATATTCAGATATAAACTGTCCAAGGATCTGATCATGTCACAGGCCTTTTCCTGTATGACAAGTTCAATGCTAATCATGAATAGTGGGCTTCACACAGAGGGTTAGTATTATTCATGAAAATTATGACTCCACGTCCAAAAATAGGGCAAAGCGGAAACAGACAGGCTGTATCTCAGCCGAGTCCACGAGTTGGTTACCACGGTCTTTGCTGCCAACCTCACGGGAGCTTTCTCAACGATGTTGGTCACACACGCTGGTGTTCTGCTGGATTCAAGGTCTGAGGCTCGGCTTGATGGGGCACCCTGGCGCCCACAGGGTGAGCATGAGGCTTTTTCAAAGAACCAAAGCCAGACACTCCCTACCCTCTCAATCTAGGTGCTCCCCAGTTCTTACTCCCAATTTCTTTAAGTCTCCCTACCCAGAGCATTTCAAGGCCATCATTAGAAGCTTTGAGAGGGTTACCAAAGGGACATAAAAAAATAAAGTAATATTAAATTTTCCTTTTTGGGAATAGCAAGGCACATCCAACAAATCTTATGAACTGGAGGGGTACTGGGTAGCTTGCATCAATTTTGATCTAATTCTGTCTCCTGAAACTTAGTTTTCGGTGACCACGTGAGTCAGCTCCCATTGGCCCAAATTATATTTTATAAATGCAAGTTGAGGATTATCTTTCCAAATAAAAGCGACCAGATTGAATCCCTTCTTTGCCATTCCTGAGAGAATGACATAGGCTGGCACTAAAAGACTATCTTTGTGTAGAACAAATGGACCGAGGAAAATCTGCTTTCCTTTCCCCCCTGCCCCTTTCTTCTTTACATAACTAGAGCCAAATGAGATGTTTTTCATTTTAAAAATCTGATTAAGCAGACTGAGCAGAAGCCCTTTCTTCTGGGCTTCGCTGTTTTCTCAGTTCTGGGACTGAACCAAGACATACGCAGGTTGGAAGGACAGTGAAGCTAGGGCCTAGCTGCCAGGCAGTGGTGACACTTGGAAGGATAACTTCTGACAGGTGAGAAGGACTGGGCCAGCAGCAGCAGTTAGAAGGGGCCCTCTCTGCCCTTGAGGCATAAGGATCGGACTGCTGGAGGGGGCACGAGGGAGGGGGTCCCGGGTTCCATGCCAACCACTCGATATATGCTGTGTATACAGGCTCCTGGCCTGAGGGATGAGAAACATGGCAGGGCAAGGAGTAGGTTTAAATAATAATGCAAAACAGCCCAGATGGAATTATTATGAGTGAGCGCCCTGCCCTTCAACTCCGGGAACTGAGAAACCCTGCTCCTTTGGCGTATTTAAAAAGGTATTTTGAACATGACATAGGTAAGCTCTTTAGTACCGCATTTAATTTTGGCTTCTGCACTTTAAGTCCTCGTACAATACTGTTTTAAAGTAGCTTTGCTAAGACTCCCTGCCCCATCATACGTTTCCTGGGGCTCAGGGTATCTTCCTGCCTCTGTATCTTGCATCTCATGAACACTGAGAGTAGGCATAATGAGTGAACGGTTAGAAAACAGGCCTCACAGTAAAAGACTGAGGACGTTTGTTTTTTGTTTGTTAGTGGAAAGGGACAAGTTGTAAATTTTCATAAAAAAGCAACAGAACCTCTTTACGCTAATGCGAGGGAAAGAGCTATGACATTAGCTTTGGAGGGCATTTAATTAGATAGTTACTGAAAATCATTTTTCAGGGGACATGAAACATTAAATCCAAATAATAAGTAATGTCATAGCTTAGTTTTACTGTTTTCATTCATTCTAAAAAAAAAATCATTCACAAAAGTACAAGGTGTTTTTCCTGGCTTGCTACGGAGCTACTGTTGCCGTCTCTGTCGATGAAGGAAGAAGCATGAGGAAATGGAGTAGAAGCAGAAATTCTGGTTGAGCTTATCCACCAAGGAAATGGGGTCCTGAGAGAGCCGGGCACTCCCATTTCTGAACAGTTCAACAAGCAAAGTGGAAATCCTCAGGCCGGGATGGCTTCTCCTCTCACCTGCCTCCTGCAATCCACCTGCCAGAACTACCTCTGGCCCCCCGGCCCCCCGGCCCCCAGCAGTGGCCTTCCCACTCTGCACTCCTAGTGCCCCGAAGCCCGCGGGTGGTGCGTTAGAGCCTTACTCTGGCAGGCCGGGATCTCGCAGTACTTCCAGTAGACGCCGTCCTCATGCTCGGCCACGTAGCACCAGGGGCTCACATCTCCATCGGGGTTTCTGTTGGGGAAAAGGACACACCGGTAACACTTCCATCATTCCACGGCAGCTGTCTCATTGCTTTTCAGTTTTACGGAAGAGGAACGCTTCAGCTTCTGTGATTTTTCATAACTGGTATGTGCCTCAATGCCACCTCCTATGAAGGAAAAGTTCATACCGCCTTTCTCCTCCAACATGTACTTCAGAGTCTGGAGGCCGGAAGGTGTAGGTAGGGAGTAAGCAAAGGTGATATGCGCTTCTACAAATTCACCCCAGTGTAACCGGGACAACAGACCACTGAACAAATCACGACAAACAGCACCGGCACCTTAGGTGGGAGTGTGGCGATTCCCACGGCTGAGGGGGCACAGGTCCTTTCTCTGCTGCGGATAAGAACGGAGTGATGCCGACCGGCAGGACGGCAATTTGGAAATTCGAGTCGAAGACCCTTTACTTGGCAATTTCTCCTTTCGTACTTTAAGGAAATCTTTACTTAAAAGGTATACATCACAGCATTTTTATAATATAAAAAAGTTAGAGCCTGGGCTGGTGTAGCTCAGTGGATTGAGCGCGGACCTGCGAACCAGAGTATCGCGGTTCGATTCCCAGTCAGGGCACATCCTGGGTTGCAGGCCAGTTCCCAGCAGGGGACGCTTGAGAGGCAACCATACATTGATGTTTCTCTCCCTCTCTCCTTCCCTTCCCCTCTAAAGATAAAGAAATAAAATATTTTTAAAAAAAGTTAGAAACAACAATTAAGGATTGGTTAAGTAAATATGTTACAGCCACATAAGGGGATGCTGGGCAGCCAGCCAACACGTGGTGTGGAGACACATTGTATTAATGTGGAAAACTTACCTAATAGTCTCCACGGACAGGCTTTCACCTGGATCAGGCTGCTCAACTGGTTCCATAGAAATGGGTCTTATTCTACATCAAAACCCTAACTTCTCAGAGAATTCAGAAGAAAATGAGGCCAAAGAGCTTCAGTCAGAACCTGCGGTCCTGTAATCCCAGTACCAACTTCTGATACAGCAATAATACTTCTAAAATATTAATTTCAGCCCTGGCTGCTGTGGCTCAGTGGATTGAGCACTGGCCTGCGAACCAAAGGGTCGCTGGTTCGATTCCCAGTCAGGGCACATGCCTGGGCTGTGGGCCAAGTTCCCTGGTGTGGGGCACGCAAGAGGCAACCACACATTGATGTTTCTTTCCCATTCTTCCTCCCTTCCTTCCCCTCTGTCTACAAATATATTTTAAAAATTTTAAAGATTTTTATTTATTTATCTTTAGAGGGGAAGGGAAGGAGAGAGGGAGAGAAATATCAATGTGTGGTTGCTTCTCATGCGACCCCCACTGGGAACTGGCCTGCAACCCAGGCAAGTGCCCTGACTGGGATTCGAACCACAATCGTTTGGTTCGCAGGCCTGTGCTCAATCCACTGAGCTACACCAGCCAGGGCTATATAAAATAATTTTTTTTAAAAGATTTTATTTATTTATCTTTAGAGGGGAAGGGAAGGAGAGAGGGAGAGAAACATCAATGTATGGTTGCCTTTCATGCGGCCCCTGCTGGGAATTGGTCTGCAAGGAACTGGTTTGCAACCCAGGCATGTGCCCTGACTGGGAATCGAACCGCGATTGTCTGGTTCGCAGGCCCGTGCTCAATCCACTGAGCTACACCAGCTGGGGCTATATAAAATAATTTTTAAAAAAGAGATTAATTTCTCATTTCTAAGAGTAGGTGGCATTCATGCCCTTAAGGCCGTTGCACCTCGGCGATGCCATGACGATAGTGGGCAACACTGCAGAAAGGAACAAAAGAATGGCAGGGCTTACCGGACACACAGAAGAGCCTCGCCTCTCTCCACTGCTTCCCAAGCTCCCTTTATTTAGGCTCAGAACACTGGAAACCTGACACTCCAGTGAGGCCGGAAACGGGCATAAAGACCCACAGCCGGGGCTTTGAGCAACCCCTGTGGGGTGGGGGGGGGGGGAGAGCGGTAAGCCTATTGTGTGGCCCGGGAGATAAGGCACCCCAATGCACAAAGGGTCCTTCTATTTGTTGTGCCCAAAGGCAGGTGCCAGCGCCCATTCTGCTCCTCCTGTCTCCGCCCCCTCCTCCACCCCAGAAAAGCGCACCCCATCACTCGCCATCTCTCAGACATCTCAGCTGTGATGGGTCTGGAAACATCTCACAAGACAAACACAGTGTCGGATGTCAGCGGAGAAATCAAAGTAGGCGAACTTGTACAGAGCCCTTCTTTAAACAGCATTTCACTGTTGTTCTCCTCCCTCTATTCAGTGTTCTGCTTTGATGGAGCATTTGGTAAGGGCCTTAGAAAACAACTGTTTGTTATCAATGTCAAAACCGCCCCGAGAAGCAACAGAATAGCTTAATAAAGAACAATCGAATGCATCTCTGACTTCACTGCCTTGCTAAAAACAAAAGGCCCAGACTCTCAGATGTGATAACAATCAACAATTTCAGCTTCTTTCTTTGCACGATAAGCTGGTAGTGCAGGTCTGGAACATTCCATCCAATCAGTGCAGGGGAGGGCTGCAGCCGGCCAGGGCTAGGGAGGAAGGTGGTCACCCCAGGCCCTCACTCTGCATTTAATTTACTAGTGCATTTCTAGGAGTCTGTGGAGAAAACAGGGTAACGACCTATGAGAAATGTTGTTTTTTTTTTTTTCATATAAATGAAACCTCAGTCTGTGGAGAAAACAGGGTAACGACCTATGAGAAATGTTTTTTTTTTCCATATAAATGAAACCTTGTTGGAAATTTCAAATTTACCTTAAAGTCAGACTCATCAACAGGAACTCTTCTGAGAAGACTTGTTTGGTAGAAAGCAAGAGACACTTTAAAACAAGAATGTAAATAACTACGTAAAAACAACAAAAACAAACAAACACTGGTTTCCTAAATACTCTTTCCAACCTAACTATTTCTATGAATAGAAAAGCAAGGGGAAGGAAATAGATGAGAAAGGAATTGGGGTTAAAATTTTAATTGTGCAAAAAATTTTAATGAATGTATAGTTTTGAAAATAAATTATAAAAGAATTACTTAATGAGCGTGTGTAACCTGAACAATAAAATACAGAAAACAGCAAAACATGGAGTAGCATATATACAAATTGTTACCTCTGGGAAGTGGGGCTTGGTGGGGGGGGTTTGCAGGGAAAGAGGTAAAATGTGGGACTTTACACAATACATATCTGTAGTTTCTGAAAAATTTTTTGGAAAAGCTTTTAATACTTTTATAGTAACAAACTAAAAAAGAATGCCACAGGAGAAAAAAAACAGAGGGAAGAGCTGAGTGCTCAGGAATCACAAACACAGATCGCAGGCCTGGCGATGTCAAGACAACCACAGGGCCCTCAAGTGTCAACGAAAGTACCAGAGAGGGCGAAAGGTAAACAGTGTAGCCTATGCAATGCAGGTATCAATGTGTTGGCTGAGCTGGGTTGACACGCCGGGCTGAATTTCCAACATATTGGTAGAACCAGGGACACCACGTGTGGCTCAAAGCGTAGCTTAGGGATCATTCTTCCTTGTCCCAGGGGCTCAAGAGCCTGCCCTTGCACCTGTCTGAATAACAGTTAAATTCAACACATTGCTGAACCATGAGTCACATTACCAGGACCTTGGGTATAAATAGCTAAAACAAAGCTGTAACCAAAAGTGCTTGGAATTTTTGCTCTGATCCCTACAGACCAGTACTTTTTTTTTTTTTTTTTTGCTTGTTTTGGATCGCTAATAACTGAGAATCTGATCAAGGTCATGGCTAATCTCCCCAGAAAATTGCAAGTGCTCATTGAAGCACCGTAGGTCTCAGGTTAAGGGTCCCTGCAGGAGTCAGACAGGTGAAGAGCAGAGCAACACCTCAGTCTACAGAAAGGAGGGAAAAGCACAAAGCTGAAGGCTGCCACTGCGGCCGGAGAGAGGGTGTCCTGGGCTGGCGGAAAGTGGGTTAATGCAGGGCAGCTTTTTTTGCCCAGAAGCAGAGGGACGTTTGGGCCACAGATGGTGCTTTAGCTTGACCGCCACATTTGCAGCAGCTTAAGAAGCTTTGCTGTCTGTGATGGTCCCGCCGGTGGCAGGGCCAACTGGGAAAACCCCCCTCAAAGAGACATGCGGGTGGCCAGACAGGAAAGCAGAGCTCTGAACCCAGTGTGAAAGCAACCCAAGTGGAGAAGCGTGGTGGCCTGTACATGTGGCTGTCTGTGCACATGAGGTGTGAGGGACAGATTTTAAAAAACAGGAACAAGAAAGGCCTTCTGAGTTGGCCAAAAGGAGGCAAAACACTTTCCCTTTTTGTGAGCAAGGCTGGAAAAGGCTGAAAGAGGAGACCAGAGATTTGTTTTTTAAAGCACTGTGCGGCCCTGTCTTACCTGCAGTAGTTGTGCTCGCCCAGGCCCCCCTCCCCGTTGGGGTATTTCAGAGTGTTGTACGGGTGCTGAAAAGTCTCGTTCCAGAACAGGCATGGCTTCCCGCCTTGCAGCGCCGTCCAGTTCTGCGTTCCCCTATAATCTGCACCATTGGCTGTGAAACATTCTAGGAGAAAGAAAAGACAGTGCAAACTAATTTTCTGGCAACATCTGTGGTCTCCTCCCTCTCTGGTTGATGTTTGTTTTGTTTGGACCAGGCTGGAAATGGATAGCGTCTTGCTAGATCCTAGACACAGGAACATTAACACTGCTAGGGCTGAATCGAGACACCCTCCAAATGCTGGGCTAGTCTTGGCATTAGTTTGTCTATATCCACTAGAATGTCTGCCCTTAAAGTATACAGATCCCAGCTAAGATATAAACAGGGCACAGAAATGTATTGAAGCCCATGAAGTGTGCCCCCAAATCTGGGAACAGTTGGTAACAGCCATCCATGAGGAGTTCTGGGTGCTCAAGGGGGTCAGTGCTTCACCAGGGTCTCTGTGTGGTAACCAGAACCAGGGCACCAGCTGTAACTGAGCTCTCCCCTACAGTCTGAAAGGCTGCAATGACACTTGGATTTAATAAGACCATCGGATACAGCAATGCTTTGGAATCCCAATCACACAAGTCTGGGAATGACTCACATTCCCTGGTAATGAAGAACAGTTCTCCCCACGCTGATGGAGATAGAGGGGCAACATAACAGTCAACAGCAGGGAGGAAAGGCCGGGTTGGCATTTCCTCTCACCTGTTTCTGAAATTCCTCCCTGAACGTGGCCTCAGATACATTTTGTACAATGAACTAATAGAGGTGCAACGATGTGCTTCTAAAATCTTCTTCTCAGACTTTGGGGGGATGGGAACTGAGGCTGATAGGATTTCCCCCCACATATTGCATGCATTAAATTCACAGAGGTTCATGAGAAAGGCACAGTACAAAGAGCAATTTTTAAAAATTAGCTTAGTTGAAACTGACAGATAGGAGTACTTCAAACACTTCTTTAAGATGTATCACTAGGAACCTGACAATCTGGGGGAGTTACACTAACATTTAGAGCTTTACTTGTTCCCTTCCCTGGGCGTGCACTGACCCACAGCTTCCGGCACAGAGGGCCCCGTGGCGGCACACGTGACCACTCCAGCCTAGGCGCGAGCACACTGCAAACACATCTATATTCTACAAGATGCTTTTTTAAATATTTAGAAATCTATCCACAGGCCATGTATCCCCTTCCTGTACCCCTTTTCTCCCACTAGCTGGGCCCTGTGTTTTGACTGGAATAGCATGGTTTTATGGACAGCCAAAATAATCTGGAATTCCAGGCTGCACAGAACACTCTAGTATTTGGTGGGACATTCATATGTTATGATGTGTGACACTTCATGTACCATGGCAACCAAACCCTCTACCAAGAGTCTGCAGATATAAAAAAGTTCAAAGGTAATTGAAGGAGGCAGCTCAGTGTAGCACGAAACACACTGAACCAAGAGACTAAGCCCTGGCTTTGCATCCTGGACCTGCTGCTGACCAGCTGTGTGACCTTGAATGAATCACCACCATCCACATCACCACTAATGCTTACGGAGCGTTTTACCGCGTGCCAGGCTCCGTTCTAAGTGCTTTACAGACACCAACTCACGGCTGAGCCAGTGAGGAGGTCCCTTGACGCTGCCATTTTACAGATGGGCAGCGGGGGTGCTCACACACCCTGCACGGCCTCTGGTAGACCCCCTCCCATCGTCCCTGTTTTCCCCATCTCCCTCACCCGCTTCCCACTCACCGGCAAACCCTGGCCACTTTCTTAAAATACATACCCTGAAGCCACCCTCTCCTCTCTGGCCTGGGCGCCACCACCTCAGTCCCCTTCACCATCCGAAGACAGTACAGCCTTGTTCAGGTCTCACAGTTTCCACTTTTCTACTTCTGTGACCTGTCCTCTGGAAGACGTGAGCACTGGGAACAAAACTCCAACCCTTCCACCTTGTCTGCAATGCTTCCGGGATGTGGCCCCAGCCCTCCCCCCACGCTCTTCCCCTAGTCACTTGCTGTGCTCCAGCCACACTGGGCCCCTTTTAACTCTGTCCACACTCCACATGACGTCCTGCCCGAAGTGTGATTCCCCCAACACTTGCCATGGCACACCACACATTACCTCCTGGGATAAACCTTCCCCAACACCTCCACTCCCATCTTCTGCCCTTACTTTGTCTGCTTCGTAGGATTATATGTTACTTGCTAGAGAGAGGGAGAGAGGTGGGGAGAGAGACTGAGTGTGTGGGTGTGCACACCACGCTAGAGCCCTTTCCTGATGGCAGGGTTAGAGAGGGACCGGGGAAACTGTATTTCTATAAAGCTGCCCAGCTGATTCTGTTAACTAATCAGGCTCGGGAACCACCAGATTAGATAATTCTAAGAACATCAAGCCAATTGTTAGCAATTACTGGAATTTTAATTGCTATGTGTTAGTACATCTTTTTTCTCCTGTGAGTGGCTAAGGAGTGTTCCAGAAGCTAGAAATGCCGGTCTTTGCAGCAGATGGCAGCCTGCAGGGTGGTGGGGTCCATGTCCCCAGAGGCTCAGACAACCTGATTTGTGACACAGAAGGACGTGGCAGCCACCCACACCTGTGCCGGTCCTCGTGCGAGGGGGTGAGGTGGCATCTGGAGAGGGGACAGACACGGGCAGGCTTGTCTGCTTCACTCAGCTTCTCCCAGACTCGACCTTGTTCTCCTTACCTCACACTAGGGAAACTGAGGAAATGGACGAGATTTTATGATTATTTTTTTAGCAGACTTGCCCAGGGCATGTCAGTTGTGAAAAAGTGCGAGAAAAACAAACTCGAGTCGTCTAGATGAAAGTTATGCGTGCATCTTGATTTCATCAGAACACTAGGGTGTGGTGCTAGGTAATGAGAATCCCGACTTCCTGATTTTCTGCTGCTATGAAACTGACATAAGCTTTGGCTAGATAGGCAAGGAGTGGCTTAAACCAATAAAAAGTAAAATACCACATGGCCAGCTGTATATTTATGCATTAAGTGGAAGCAAATGAGCAGGGGCAATAGATATAATCTCCAGGGTATTATTCCTCAGTCCATTCAACAAATATACAGTCAATACTTACTAGGCGCTGTTCAAAGCACCGGGTCTGCGGCGGTGGACACTGCAGCAGTGGACACTGCAGCAGTGGACACTACATGCTAATGGCAGACATGCTCATAATAAGCTAGTCAAAATTAACGCAGTGAGAAGGGTTATAAGGAAAAATGAAGGGGCTGGAGATCAGTTGGTGTGGGTTTTCTGTTAGATGGGATGGGTCAGGAAAGTCTTGGAGAAAAGGAGACGTTTGAGCAGAGGACAAAGGGAGGGAGCAGACCACTAAAGTGAGGTGGGAACCCCCTGCGAGCAGGAATGTGCCTGGCAGGCCTGGAGAACTGGAGACACCTCCTCCGATCTGACTGAAGCAGGGCAGGTGGTGGGGAAGGGTGGGTGGGGAATGAAGAGGAGGCGGCAAGGCCAGGACAAGTAAGATCTTGAGGGCTGTTATGCAAATTAGACTTTGGCTCTTGTTCTAAACGTGAGAGGAAGCCACTGGAGGGTTTGGAGCAGAGAAATGACACGATCTGACTTACTGATTAATGGAACTGTCTAGCTGCTGGGTGGATGAAGAGAGTCGAGAGTCAAGAACTCAGCAGGGAGACCGGGTAGGGCGAGTGGTTTCTGCAGAAGACAGGCTAGAAGAGGAATCTGGGCCAGGGTGGTCGCTGGAGTGGTGGGAAGTGCCTGGATTCTGGGTGTATTCTGAAGCTTGGGGTTGAATACAGGGCCTCAGAGAAAGAGGAGTCAGGTTCAACAGCAGGGGTTTGGGGCTGAGCCACTGGGTTGAGTGGTGACACCATTTACTGCAGTGGGGAGGACACAAGTGGGGTGCACTATCTTGGGCTAGAACCAAGGGTTTGGTTTGGATCGGTTAAGTTTGAGACACCTTTCCGAAAACTGGATGGAGATATAGAGTAAGCAGGACATTATCAGCCTGGAATTGAGGCGTGAGGCTGAGGTTAGAGCTAGAAATGAGGTGGTGGCAGCACTTCCGCGTGGAGAGAACAGGACAGCTGTGTGTGCAGAGAGAAGACGTCCGGGCCTGAGCCCCGGGGCCCTCCAACATCCCAGGCTTGGAAAGAGGCGGGCCTGGCCATGATCACAGGGAAGTACAGCTGGGGAGGTAAGGAAAGGTGAGCGAGTACGTGGGTCTTGAAAGTCAAGGGGGAAGGTGTTTTGAAAAGGAAGGAATACTATACTGTGAAAACTGAGGAACTTTTCTTTCCTCCCCATCTTCTCCAGCTAGGTCCCAATGACTGCACAGAATTCATCTCTGTTCGACCTCACCTGTCCACCAAAGAACTCCAAACCTTTTGTTTTGGGGATTGAATGAAAACAGTTCAATATAAGCCTGGCAGAAACTTACCAATACAGTAGAAAATTTCCCTGCTAAAAACGTCCAAGGCTGGCATCAAAACACTTAGAAGAGGACTTCCGCCAAGATGGAGGTATAGGTGGATGTGCCGTGCCTTCTCACACAACCAAGTTTAGGGACAACTAAATATTAGCAACACAAAACACAGCCAGAACACGGAAAATTGAACTTTTCGGAAGTCCGTTAACAACAAATTCTGCAGCCTGACCGGTAAGGGGCTAAACCAGTGGCTGGTGGAGCGGGATTGCACAGGAGGACTCGGTCAGACGGGCTCAGGCGCGGAATCCAGACGCGGAATCCAGGCGCAGGGTTGGACCTAGTGAGCGACTGAGTGAGTGACCAGGCGAGCGAGCGCGGAGGAGACAGCGGGGAAGCGGTGCTGCGTGTTGACTGGGGTCGCCTATTTGTGGGAGAACGGACAGGCGAGGGAGTGGGCGGTTGGACCGGGGCCCGGTGTCCCCGAGGCTAGCGGCAGTAGAGGGCGCCGCCATTTCCCCGCTCTGACCACGCCCCCACATACAGCGTCACAACCCAGCGACCTGGGAGTCCAAGGCGCCGCTTCTCACACTTAAAGGGCCAGAACAGACCAAAAATGGCGCAAATTCTCAAAATCCCTGAGCCCATAGACCTAAGCGATGAAGAAATAGCAA